TCTAATTCCCTTTTGAAGCTGTCCATGCTTGTAGCTGCCACCACCTCCTGTGGCAGTGAATTCCATATGTTAATCACTCTTTGGGTGAAGAAGTACTTCCTTTTATCTGTTCTAACCGACCACTCAGCAATTTCATGGAGTGCCCACGAGTTCTTGTATTGTGAAAAAGGGAGAAAAGTACCTCTTTCTCTACCTGCTCTATCCCATGCATAATCTTATAAACCTTGATCATGTCACCGCTCAGCTGTTGTTTCTCCAAGCTAAAGAGCCTTAAGTGCTTTAACCTTTCCTCATAGGGAAAGTGTTCCAACCCTTTTATCATTCTAGTTGCCCTTTTCTGCACTTTTCCCAAAGCTATAATATCCTTTTTAAGGTGTGGTGACCAGAACTGTACACAGTATTCCAAATGAGGTCGCACCATTGATTTATATAGGGGCATTATGGTATTGGCTGATCTATTTTCAATACCCTTCCTAATAATCCCCAGGATAGCATTGGACTTTTTTACTGCAGTCACACACTGTCTCGACATTTTCAGTGAGTTATCTACTACGACTCCAAGATGTCTCTTGGTCAGTCTCTGCCAGTTCAGACCCCGTCAACGTGTATTTATAGTTAGGATTTTTGGCTCCAATGTGCATCACCTTGCACTTAGCCACATTGAACCCCATTTGCCATGTTGATGCCCACTTGCCCATCCTTGACAGATCCCTTTGGAGTACCTCACAATCCTCCCTGGTTTTCACCACCCTGAACAACTTCATATCATCCGCAAATTTAGCCACTTCACTGCTTACTCCCAACTTCAAATCATTAATGAACAAGTTAAAAAGCAGTGGACCAAGTACTGATCCCTGCGGTACCCCACTGCTTACTACCCTCCACTGAGAAAATGGCCCATTTATACTCTGTTTCCTATTAATTAGCCACTTTTTGATCCACAAAAGGACTTGTCCTTTTATCCCATGATTTTTGAGCTTACTTAGGAGCCTTTGATGAGGAACTTTATCAAAAGCTTTCTGGAAGTCATGGTAAACAATATCTATTGGGTCCCCCTTGTTCACATACCTTGTCTTCAGATATGTTGTGAAAGCTTATACCCAGAATAAAACTTTGTTGGTCCTAAAAGTGCCACTGGACTCAAACTTTGTTCTGTTGGTCTGCTGCTTCAAACCAACACAGCTACCCATGTGAATCTTAATTGTTATAGTGTGTGTGTTTAGAGGTCCCTCCTAGTGTGGGGCTGTAAACTATAGTTTACTTGTTTGGCAAGGGGAGCTTTGATTCTCGCAAGCTTATACCTGGGGTTGCCAGCCTCCAGGCGGCAGCTGGAGATCGCCTAGGATTACAACTGGTGTTCAGGCAACAGAGATCAGTTCACCTGGAGAAAATGGCCACTTTGGAAGGTGGACTCTGTGACATTATTATACCCCACTGATGCCCCTCCCCTCCCCAAACCCCACACTACTGTTTTAGGAAGGATGTTGACAAGCTTGAGCATGTCCAGAAGAGGGCGACCATGATGGTGGGAGGGTTGGCATCCAAGTCTTATGAGGAAAGGCTGAAAGAGTTGGGTATGTTTAGCCTGGGAAAGAGAAGGCTTAGAGGGGACATGATTGCAGTCTTCAAGTATTTGAAGGGCTGTCGTGTAGAAGATGGAGCAGATCTATTCTCTCTTGCTCCAGATTGCAAGACTAGATATAATGGGTGGAAACTACAAGTGAGTCATTATCAGCTAAATATCAGGAGAAGCTTCCTAACTGTAAGAGTGGTTGAGCAGTGGAACAGACTGCCTTGGGAGGTGGTGGATGCTCCTTCACTGGACGTTTTCAAGCGGAGGCTGGATGACCATTTTTCAGGTATGTTGTAGGGCTATCTTTTAGCTATGCTCCTGCAGAGTGCAGGGGGTTGGACTAGATGACCTGCAAGGTCCCTTCTAACTCTAACATTCTATGATTCTACTCAGGCTCCACCCCCAGAATGTTCAAGTACTTCCTAACCCTGAGCTGGCAACAACCCTAGTTATACCCTGAAACTCTTGCTGTTTTCTAGGGTGCTACGGGAGTCGAATCTAGCTGTTTTACTGCGGACCAAAACAGTTACCCCCTGAAATTATATTTCACTTAGCATGTGTATAGCCAGTTTAGGTAAAAACTACAATCACACACTTTAAACTGTGTGTGTGTAGTTAGTTCACCAGATTTAACCAGACGGTCAAACCAGATGCGACCCTGGAAGCTCCAGAACCGTGAATGTGCTTGCCCTAATTCTTCACCTGTTACATTTGTTTTCCTTGCAGTAGCTTGTACCTCACTGTTTTCTGTGCACAGTAGAAGTGCAATGCTAGACGTGTCTACTCAGACAAGGTGAGGAAGAGCTGTAGATCTGTGGCAGAGGATTTGCCTGGCATGCAAAAGACATTCCAGGCACCTCAAGGCTGAGGTAATGAGGGAAAGTTGTGTCTGTTCGTTTATGGCCGTTAATGTGCTCAAGTAGCATATTAGGGGGATGCATTGTTTGCCCACTCAAAAGAATGAACTGGGAAAACTAAAAATCCTGCCTGTGCAGAAGCCATCGGCACCCCCTTTGTCCCTTGGCAATCATATGACTTTAGTAGGGAAGCAAACCTCCCTCTAAGCTATGTGGTCTTGTGAGCAAAAATTCTGCTTTGTGAGCTACTAGTATTAAAGCTGTGAGTGAGCAATTTGCCTGCTGCATAAATTAGTTTGCTCTGGATCCATCCTTCCTGAGCTAAGACAAAAATCTGTGAGCCGGAGGACTTCCGGCGCTGCGGCGTTGCGCTACGGGCGCGTCCCTTGGGAGGTCCCGGGAACATGGCCGCCATGTTCCTGCCTAGCAGTTGCCAGCCGTATTTTTAAACCTCTTTCATTTCATTTATTGTGAGTTTGTCTTTATGTTTCTACGCCACCCTGAAGGATACTGCACAACCCGACTGAAGAGGATGAAGTTTTAAACAACCCCCTTTTTTCGGCGGTTTTCACCTCCCCCACCGGCAAGAGAAAGCGGACGTGAAATGTTTATGGGCAGCGAGTGAAAGAGGACTGGGGTAAGAAAAATGCCTGTGGGACCTACTACTAGCTACCAAAAACGCTACTAAAAAAAAAAAGCAGAAAAATCGTGGGAATGTATTTTGCTTAATTATTTAACTATTAAGTATTCGGAGGAAAGTGGGAGTGAAGTTGTGAGAAAATGGAGACGACCTCTGTTTCTAAAGAGGTACAGGACTCAATAGTACGTGAGCTCAGATCCGATAATTTCCAAAAAGCTTTGCAAGCCGAATTAAATAAAACGCTTAACCAAATGTGGGACAATATTTTGAAGAACTTGCAATGCCCTGCCGATAAGGAGAAGAATGCTATAGAGCAAACAAAAGAGACATCGGAGAGGAATGAATGGCAACGATTTAAGCAGGAGAGAGGCCAGCAAGGTACCCTATATGAGCTGAAGGGAAAAAATGTATGTGAATGGGACTTACTGAATAGGACTGAAAAAAAAGAAATTATGAAAATAAGACTGGACAAAAAAGTATGCGTGTTAAACACACAGAGCAAGGAAGAAAAGAGGAGGAAAAAGAGGAAAAAAGTAAAGAAAGGTTTAAACAAACCGAAAGACTCTAACTTTAAAAGATTTCTGAACTGGGACATTAAAAATCAGGGAAAAGACAAAGAGTACAAAGACCAGCGGCACACAAGTGAAAATACAGAAAATCAAAGCAGAAATGAAATACAATATAATTCCAAGAGAAACTGTAGCCAGAAGGATATTTTAATGGAAACTGTATCATGTGCTTTTTACCTCTACTGGCATGTTTGACATTTTGTAATTTGGTATCATAACTTGGAGAAATAGTGACCTAGGAATGTGTAAATAGATGACATATATACATACATTGAATGCTATTTAGCAATTTCTAGGTAGGGCGAACTGCTCTGTTAAGTAGGAAAGAAACAGTTTATTTTGTTTTCATATGGGTTGTTAGTTGATACCGGTTGTAGAATACAAAAGGACTTGAACAACCCTTAATATGAGTCTGAACAGTAACATAATTTTTTTTCTTTATGAGTTGCTATCTCTCTTGTTTCTGGAGATAAAGCTATAAGTCAGGCTGGAAGGTTAATTAACAGTGGGTTGAAACTGGAAAATATGTTGGGGACATCTTTGGGATATCTATGGGTGAAAATGAAATCTACTGTGTGGAACTGATAATGAAATTTAATGTGTGGAGCTTAAGGGGAAATGAAATTTGCGGTGTGGAACTGAGTCAATATCAGAGTTTTATTAATTTTGGAAAGTAGGTATTTGAAATCATGAGTAGAAATTAGGACCTTAACAGGATTGGAAATATATAATTTAATGTGAAATAAGTGGTTGAGAAATCTTGTATAGATCAGGAGAGATCTGTGGGATTGATAAAATTGTTGTTATGAGAATGGGAATCAGTTATAAAGCATGCAAGTAACTAAAGTGGTGTGGAATACATGTGTTAACTGGATTGGGGTTGGTGGGGGGAGGGATTCATGTGTGATTTGTGTTTGTGTTTGTTTTTTATGTGTTATAAAACTCAATAAAAATTGTTAAAAAAAATATATCTGTGAGCCGAAGGCTAAAAAAGTGCGAGCTAGCTCACATTAAGTCAGTTTAGAGGGAACACTGGAGGGAAGTATCCCACATACTATTATCAACCAGGACTGCAAAAGACCCATGAGTCAACCATTAAGGAGAAGACTTAAAGGACGTGCATGAAACCAAATGATTAAACTGACGAAACATTCTCACACTGGAGCATTCATAACTAACGACTATGACTAGGTGAAAAGTTCTCCCAGACTGCCAACGATTGCTAATGTAGGATGTTTTAAGGGTGGAGAGATTGATTGCAATATTGCTCAAAATGTCCAAGAAAAGAATTAAGTTGCTCAGAAAACTTTTCCATATAGTACATTTCCTATGCATTTACAATAAGCTGTCTTCTTATGGTGCACTAGAAATAATGCCCGTTGCGGAAATAAATACAACGGGATCTAGAAAGAGGCTCTGGGAGAGTGCTCTGGCTTTGGGCAAACAGTGTCAGTTTCCTGTGGCGACCTCAGCAGGGTTTAATGACAGAGTCCACTGTTTTCTCCAGAGGGACTGATCTCTGCTACCTGAAGAGCATTTGTATGTTTGAGTTATCTGTAGCCCTCACCTGGAGAGTGGTAACCATTGTTACCCATTCTCCTCTCCCCTATGAGGTATGTTATGCAACTGAAAATTCCAACTGCCTTGCGGGGGGGGGGGTTGAGGTGTGGAATGGACTGAAGTCCAATCAGCTTCCATATGCAAAAGACCAGGTTGTCGCAGCAGTTGTGGTGTGGGCGGGACCCGGGCTTTGCCTTCTGATTGGTGGCAATATATGCTGAGGAGCATTGCCATCAGCCATACACTAAGGGAGTGCATTTTAGAATTAGAACTTTGGCACCCACTATTCAATTATATATAAGGAGAGATGTGTCTGTCTGTGGAAGTTCATCTTTATCTGCTGTGGCCTCTACACAGGGCAGGTTTCCAAAGAGTATTTATTTACCTCATTGATACCCCACTTTTCATCCCAGTGAGGACCAAAGTAGCTTACAACATTCTCCCATCCTTTTTTTCCTCTGAACAACCTTGTGAGGCTGGTTAGCTGGAAATATGTGAATGGCCTGAGGTCACTCAGGTGAGTTTCCATGACAGGGGGGAGTTGAGCCCGGGTCCTAGTCCAGCGGTCCTAGTCCACGGTGGCTCAGAGGTTAAGATGCAGAACTGCAGACCGGAAAGTCAGTAGCTTGGCAGTTCAAGACCCGAGTGCCATGTGATGGAGTGAGCTCCCGTCTCTGGCCCCAGCTCCTGCCAATCTAGCAGTTTGAAAACAAGAAATTGTGAGTAGATAAATAGATACCGCTTCAGTGGGAAGGTAACAGTGTTCCCTGTGCCTCGGCGTTTAGTCATGCTGGCCACATGACCACGGAAAGTCTTTGGACAGCACTGGCTCTTCATTTTGGAAACGGAGATGAGCACCGCTCCCCAGAGTCGGATTCGACTGGCTCTCAAGCAAGGGAAACTTTTACGTTTACATTTACCTAGTCCAACACTCTAACCACTACACCACACTGGCTCTTGTTATTCCGTTGTAGTAAGCTGAACAAAATCAAGCATTCCCTTAATCCAGTTTAATTCAGCATAAGCTTTTGTGAGTCATAATTCACGTCTTCGGATGCATATAAAGTGAAATTTTTACACTAACATTGATAACCAAACTTACAGGGAGGGGGAAAAACAACAGTGGAGAAAATATTATGGAATGTCTGAAGAAGAGAGATATGAGCAATGCTCATATCTCCTGATGGTACTGGTATTTCTGGCCACTGTGTGACACAGAGTGTTGAACTGGATGGGCCTTTGGCCTGATCCAACATTGGCGTCTCTTATGTTCTTATGTTCCCCTCAACCCCAACTTAACATAAACCACAGCACACGAACATTTTGTAACAGATGACATCGGCTTATTCTACGCTGTTTTCTTTCTTTTTTTCATTGTCTTTTCCACATCACTGAAGATCCTCCTCCTTCCTGCAACGGGGTCCAGAAAACCAGAAGCGAAAGTAATTCCGCTGTTTTCACAAGCGAGAGAGAGGGAAGCAGCCATGGCAGCTGCGGGTCCTGTCCAGGGGCTCTGTGAGGAAACGACGTGCCCTATCTGCCTGGAATACTTCCGAGACCCGGTGACTATTGACTGTGGCCACAATTTCTGCCAGGCTTGCCTCACCCGGTACTTTAGGGAATCCAGTGCCAGGGCTTCCTGCCCCCAGTGCCGGAAAACGTTTCAGCAAAGCAGCCTCAGGCCTAACCGGCACCTGGCAAATATGGTCGAGCTCGTGAAGAAACTCGAGAGAGGAAAAATCAGAGAAGGGAAGAGAGAGTTGTGTGAGAGACATCAGGAGCCCCTGAAACTCTTCTGCCTGGATGATCAAGCCCTCATCTGCTGCGTGTGTGACAGGTCCAAAGAACACCGACATCACAGCATACTTCCCATCGACGAGGTTTCCCAAGATTACAAGGTACAAAATAACGATGTCGCTCTTGATAGATTCTTTTTAGATGCACTTTAGGCTTTGCTCTTTATTTTGTTTTTTGGTTTTTTTGAAAAAGAGGTGCCGAAACTCTCAAGAGGAAAATGAAGTTTTCAGTCTGTATACTGAAAACTCATTAAGTTGTGAACATTTTTGTCAAAGCGGTCTTTTGTCAAAGAGGTTCCGGAGCTCCATTCCCGTGCATTCCCCCAGAAAAAAAAGCCCTGGCATGCACTCCTGTTGGTACCCCTAATAGACAGAGCCTCTGTCCCTGGTTGTGTTTGCCCAGGCCAATCTGAGAAAACACACAAAGCAGTCCTGTAGAGTAGAAGACCAAAAAAATTTTTAATGTATTAATGAATAAGTACAGATATTTCACATTACATCAGAGAAATAAAACAGAATTATTGGTTCCATCAAACGTTGTCAAATTTCCGTCACCTATTGGGTTAAAACCTGCGGGTTGGACTTTCCCAAGTAAACTGTTTTCTTTTAGCTAAACAATAAGCGCTTCTTTTTCTTAGACTGTGAAATACCAAAAGTATCCATTTATAGCTGATATGTTCACAGGCTGTTATTGTTCTTCATTTAGCTAAGCTAACTGGTATCAGAGACATGCGCAGTTGTAACTGGCCTGCCAAGGCCATAAGCTTCAGCATTTTACCTTGGAGGGTGGACTGTATGGCATTATACCCTGCAGAGGACCCTCCCCTCTCTTCCCCAAACCCTGCCCTCCCCAGGCTCCATCCCCTAAATCTCCAGGTGTTTCCTAATACAGAGCTGGTAACCCTACTGGAATGAACATCTCAGATTTTACCAAAGTGAAGCAGTTTTGTGGGCTTCCTGGAGGCATCTGGTTGACCAGTGTGGAAAACAGGATGCTGGACTGAACCCACAATGCTCTTAGTCTTTTTCAACACCAGTACATGGTGATGACCAATGTTCCCTCTAAGGCATGCAGTCTTGTGAGCAGAAATTTTACCCTGTGAATCAAAAGTGGTGCTAGCTTTAAAACTGTGAGTGGGTTGACATTTAAAAAAAAACCTATTTCAGTGTACAAACATACAAAACATACAGACATAACATATATACTATTATCATTTGTATTACAAGCCATATATTTATATTAAACTTATTTATATTTATATGGAACATACTATATGACTCTTTCAAACTGTATTTTAGAAATGTTTTATACATCATAGCCATGAACAGTATCATCAAGTTAGCTAAGCCATCCTAGCCTCATGCCTTAGCCTTATCTCCCCCCACCTTCTAATACTAAAGCAGACACACCCTCTGCCTGCCAACTCCAGAGTGATGGTATTTTATTTTAATTAAGAGCCAACACTGAGAATGCTATTTGAAAAATTAGCCAACTCTGTTCAAATTGGGAAAATGCCGTCTTCACAGTGAGATTGCTGCATTATCGAGAAAGAGAGAACATAAAAATGCATTCTGTGGCAAGGGACCAACAAGGCTCACTGGCAGCTAAATACCAGTGGCAAAAGGAATAGCATACAAGGAAAGCATATAGGTCTGGGGAAGGAGATTTAACCTGGGAATCCTGGAATTTACAGAGCTATTCTGAACTGAAATTCTGCAGGAGCATTTATAGCAGATTGAAGAAAACCACAGGAAAAAAAATAAGGTGTGAAAAGTACTGAGACTGGCAAGAGATTTCAGCTCTTATACTTTTATTATAGGTGCAGAACAAGACAAAAAACCTCAGCTCACAGGCCGACTTATATGCTCAGTAAACCCACTCCCAAGAACACACCCCCCACTCAGTGATAGGCTATATACAGTGGCCGAGAGTTCCATAGTTCCCGACCAGGAACCTAGCCCTCTGGTTGGTGTGGGCTAGAATCCGCTCAGGCCATTGTCTCCCGGAGCGAAGCTCAGAGGCTTCACATGACGGCGTGGAGAACTTGCCTCGCACACAGTCAGGTTGGATACATTACAAGGTGCATTACTGTTTTTTCCTAAAGCTTGACTTGGAGGAGGGAGAAACTTGCCCATGGCCTGCGATCCTGCATGGGTGCTCCAGCCAGGGCCGGTGCCAGGTTTTTTTGCACACTAGGCGAGGCTACCTTCTGGCACACACACCCCGTGTGCCCACCAATTTTCAAACTAGAAAGAATGAAAAATACAAAATTTGAAATTGCTAATTCCTTTCTTTTTTTTAATTGTGAGAACAAGTAATACAGTCTCTGATTTCCCCCACCTAACTGGTGTGTGCTTCTAAACCCTGTCCTTCTAAGCCAGTTTGGTGCTGTGGTTAAGAGTGGTGGACTGTAATCTGAGAACTGGGTTTAATTCCCCACTCCTCCATATGCATCCAGCTGGGTGGCCTTGGGCTCTGTCACACCAGTTCTCTTAGAGGCCTCTCAGTTCCACAGGGTGTCTGTTGTGGGGAGAGGAAGGGAAGGAGATTGTAAGATGCCCTGAGACTCCAAGTCTGAATAAAGAAGATGTGTAATACTTGGAGGTTGGATGGCTTGGCCCTGAGTTGAGCAATTCAGAGAGGCTGTTGAACTGGGTTTGTTCCTGAGCCATTTACACTTTCCAGTCAGCCTGCTTCTCTTATACACAGAGAAGTCACCCACAGGCATACACAGAAGGGAGACAGCCAGAACTGTCAGGAGGCCCTCTTCTGAAAGTCTTCTGACTTCTTCCCACAGAGAGAAAACATCTGCATAACACACACACACCCAGCTAGGGATGCCAGCCTCCAGATGGGACCTGGGGACCTCTTGGAGTTACACCTCATCTTGACTACAGAGATCAGTTCCCCTGGACAAAATGAATGCTTTGGAGAGGGGACTCTATGGCATTGTGGCCCCCTCAGGTCCCTGCCCATCCCAGGCTCCATCCCCAAATCTCCAGGAGTTTCTCAACCTGAGGTTGGCAACCTTACTCCCCCATCCACTTCCAGTGGCTATGGGGGACCTGACAACCCTATGCCCATTATTACACAGAGCAGAATGGTGAGAAGACCAAGCCAGTCTCTGAATGGGTTATTGCATTGTTTTCCTGGTGCCCTGTCCCTTTAAATATAGAAATGAACCCAGATCTGCACTCCCACTTAAAATAAAGCCAGGCCACCCGCCCAGGCTCCAGTGCGGCCCAGGAACAATGCGGGTAGCCACCACAACCCTGGCTTCTTCTCTGCGCTCAACCTCCAGCACCAGGAGCCACCGAGGGGGCTTCTTGCTGCTGCTGCGGTGGCGAGAACAAGAAGAAGAAGAGAAGAAGAGATTGGATTTATACCCCGCCCTTCACTACCCAAAGGTGTCTCAGAGTGACTTACAAACTTTTTTCCCTTCCCCTCCCCACAACAGACACCCTGTGAGGTAGGTGGGGCTGAGAGACCTCTTGACAGAAACTGCTCTTTTTTCAAGAACAGCTCTTATCAGAACTATGGCTTACCCAAGGTCATGTGAGCCAGGTGCAAGTCAAACCCGGTTCTCCCAGATTAGAGTCCGCGCACTTAACCACTACACCAAACTGGCACTTTGGTGCACAAGCAAGGACAAGTCCCACGCTAAAGGGATGCAGGAGGGCAGGGAGAGGAGAAGAGTCGAGCCAGGCAGCAGAGGCATAGGAGCCACCTGTGGGCGAGCGGCAGCGGTGGTGCTTCACCGAGGAAGTATGATGAGAGCGGCGCGAGGGGGCTCTCTGTGCAGCGGTGCATCTCTTCCTGCCCAGGCAAGAGCGGGACAGGGAGGGATGGACACACAGATGCCCCCTGCTCTCCCCTGCTTCTCTTCATTGCCTTTTGCTCGCCCGCCTACAGCACTGCGAAGATATACCTTGGCCTGGGCCTACATGGCCATTGGGAAGGGAACCTCCCACCCCTGCACTATGAAAATAATTGCTGCACTGGTCGGGGGAAATTGGTGTGCCAGCGCAGGCTGGCACAGCTTAAAGGGAACCTAGGTGATGACTATTCATACTGCATTTTGTGTACCGAAAATAAAGCTGTGTAGCTGCTGGATAACATAAAGAGCAACAAAAGGAAGAAGTGGTGGATTCAAGAGGAGACCATTGTTCTGTTTCATTTGTGTTCCAAAATGTAGAACCTGCCTCTCCAAAGATCTGCTTGGGAGAGGTCATAATCTAAAATTTAATACGGAATCATCAAAATCACAAAGCATTCCTTAAAAAGACAAAACAGAAATATGTAAACCAGAAATAAAAGTAGCAAACTCTTGCTAGGAGCATAAAATCATCATAAGAACGATGTTCAGCAGCATAAAAAAACATGTTAGCAGAGAACACACAACAGGCTTGAGGCACATCCTGTAGGGTTGCCAACCTGCAGGTGGGGCCTGGAGATCTCCCAACATTACTACTGATTTCAAGACTACAGGGATCAGTTTCCCTTCAGAAAATGCTGCTTTGGAGGGTGGACTCTGTGGCATTATATCCCGCTGAGGTAGGGTTGCCAAGTGCAAATTACCTTAGAGCGGGGGAGTCCCGGGGCCCATCCTGGAGATTTTTGGCACACGCTTTCCACACACGCCGTGATGACACTACCCGGAAGTTACATCATTGTGTCAGTCACGTTGGGGGCGGGACCACTGATTTGAGGGAAAACCATACAGTTTTTCCTCGAATCATACAACTTGACCAGGGAAACCAGAAAGGTGAATCTTCATCAACCAACTGTCTCACATGTTGTTCCTCAACCAGGTGAATCACGAAAACTGCACGGAAAGCCTCAAACCAGATCTGACGAGAGACGGGAGGATAACAAGGAAAACGGTCAACAGTAAAAGCTGTGTATCTGTCACTAAGCTCATTAGCAGACTCAGTTGACTGGCATGCTGGCTGCCACTGCCAGCTCTCAAGGAAGCAAGTCAGAATCAGGCCTGTAGCCAGGATTTTGTGGCTTGTGAAGCAATTTTTTATCTGGTGGGGCTGCCATTATTGCTGCATCTTTTAAAAAAAAGTCTGCTCCAGGAGTTGCCCAGCTTGAAGTGGGCAACCGTACAGTGCCAGCCTAACCTCACATGGAAACCATTATAGTCAGTAGGCCCCATAGGCTATAATAGAGAATCAATCTGGGGGTATCTGGGGCTCTGTGGGGCTTTTTTTTAGTTAGAGGCACCAAATTTGCAGCATAGTTGCTAGTTCCTCTCTTCAGAGCTCCCACAAGTTGTGAAAAGATTGGACCAGGGTGTCTAATTCTATGGGCCCTAGAAGAAAGGTGTCCCCATCCTCCATTGTTTCCAATGGAGGCAAAAATGTCTTGTGAGCAGAAGCAGAAATCCCATGCGCTGCCTGTTGAACTTTTGCATGCCAGCACCCCATAGTGCAGCTCAGAGGGAACTATGGGCATCACGCACACTGCTGCACAGTGGGCAGTGCCCAAGGTCAGGATCCTAATGCTCTCAGGCTGTGTAAGAGCAGGTGGTAGGTACCTACTTGATTAACCAGCAGTTCCTCAAGTCTGCCAGTTAACACAGCTTATACCTCTGTTGGTCTGATTCCACGATCGTAAGAGGCTTCAATTGAGATCCATTCTCTTATAACCTCCCACAATTTCCCAGCAAGTGAAAAACCATACAGTTTTTCCTCGAATCATAGAGCGCCCCCCCCCACAATGTGCCCAGCATTTTGGGGGTGGAGTTCCCCCCGGCGGCCTTGATCCGGGCCAGTGGGTAATAGGACCATCGAGTGGGGGGGGTTCCCCACCCCCCGGGGGGACTTGGGAAGCCTACGCTGAGGTCCCTGCCCTCTCTAAACTCCAGCCCCAAATAGCCAGGAATTTCCAGACCCAGAGATGGCCACCCTAGGTGCAGGCTATAAAAACAGCCAGTAAAAGGAAGGGGGTAACCCTTTGGTTAAATGCCTTTAAACTCTGATATATATTACAAACATTCCCCAACTGCAAAGCTATTTCCTCTCGTGAAAACAAGGTACTAGGTACAGGATCAGGTACAAGATCAAGGCTTAAAGACAGATTACACACAAGTACTGCTTAAAGGCATATGTCTCCAATGGCTTCAAGAAAAAATACACACACATATGGAGGGTTCATCATCTTTGCCAAAAGGAATGCAATTCAGCTCATGTGGGACTGAGAGAAGGCATGCAAAACAGGTAAACTTTGCAGGTAAGTCAGGCTTTAAGTTGCTTATTTAAAAAGTTTTGAAAAGTGTGTTGAAGGTTTGCATACAAGATGCTTTGCTTATTTTGATATTTGTATTAGTTCTGTGAGAATATGTTGACTCTGAAGAGGATAATGAAACTTCCACAGCCGTAAAAGTGACTTAGCCTCTCTGCAGTGGCCATCAAGGCCAGAAAGCTATGGAAAAAAAGAAGCATTAAGAAAATGATAACTGTATTCAAGGACTGTACGTTGCCATTGTATTGGTCTCACTCTGGAGAGGTTTTCTTTGTGTATACATATGTGTGTGTGATGTATCTTGATGCCATTGTGCTTTGACAGTCATTATAAGAGTATGTAGGTCATACTAAAGGACTTATAATTTAGTCTCTATGTATGATATTTTTATAAATCGCATTGGAGACATATGCCTTTAAGCAGTACTTGAGTGTAATCTGTAAGTAATGTGTGTTTCTGCAATGTATTTTTGCTATTGCACTAAACATCTGCGTAGTCCCATTGTATTAAATGTTTACAAGATCAGGGCTGGCATGAATAAAAAGCTATGACAAAATAAGTTTTAAATTTGGGGGACAACAGATCTTAACCTTATGCTTGCTTATATGATGCAGCCGCATAAGACTGAAGAGGGGACGTAGCTGAATTCAAAGGCAAATTGAACATAACGTCCTGCAGTCCCACAGTTTTGCCCACTATAGCAGGCACAAGCAAGGACAAGTACAAACATTTACATTTTTTGTTTGTTTACTTATGTTTCAACTCAAAAGCAACAGGCCAACACCCATTTTTGAAAAGTCTAACATCCACCAGTTACTGTAGGTGTTGGGGAATGGGGAGAGAGAGATGGGGAAAGCTGAATATTGTCCTCTGTTCCCTCTCCGAAACAATTTATCTTTTGTTGGAACAAAAGAAATCGCAGTTTAAATATAAGAGATCCACTCTCCTATAACCTCCCACAATTTCCCAGCAAGTGTTACATGGGCCTGGCCTCTTTCCAGAACAAAGTGCTTCCATTTTTATTTTACTTTATTTTTGTACAGGAAAAAATCAAAGTCCAGCAGAAATCTCTGGAGAAAGAAAGAGAATGTGTTCTGAAAATGAAACTAGCGGAAGAGGACGAAAAGCAGAAATGTCTGGTAGGTGTTTCTCGCATGTTAAGAATGAGTGTTGTGACTGATAGGGGTCATGGGCCAGTGGTAGAGCATTTGCTTTGCATGCAGAAGTCCCAGGTTCTATTTCAGGCACCTCCAGTTAAAAGTAGCGAATATTGGATTTATACCCCACCCTTCACTCAGAGTCTCACAATGGCTTACAATCACCTTCCCTTCCTCTCCCCACAATAGATACCCTGTGAGGTAGGTGGGGCTGAGAGAGCTCTGAGAGAACAGCTCTGAGAGAACTGTGGCTTGCCCAAGGTCACCCAGCTGGCTGCACAAAGAAATCGCAGTTTAAATATAAGAAATAGTCTTAATGGAGTAAAGAGAGTCCAGGAAAGAGAATAGCAATAAAATCTTTAATGTATCTTGAAGTAGTCCCTAGTTCACTTATATTTCCTTCACTTATATTTCCCTGGATCCAATCCATAAATCCACAGTTCCTTGTGTGAAGTACATTTTCCTACCCACAACCAATGCTCCCTCTAAGCTGTGGAGTCCTGTGAGCAGAATTTCTACTCGGTGAGCCACTGGTATTAAAGTTGTGAGCGAGTGATTTGGCTGCTGGATGAATTAGTTTGCTCTGGAGCTATCCTTTCTGAGCGAAGACAAAAATCTGTGAGCTGGAGGCTAAAAAACTGCCGGTTCTCCAGATTAGAGTCCGCTGCTCCTAACCACGACACCAAACGGCCTCTCAAGAGATTTCAGTGGATGTCATTTCTGAGTGGTTAGTGTAGTGATGGTCTCATACGACTAGGGCTGCCAAGTCCCCCCGGGGGGCGGGGAAACCCCCGCCCCAGAGGCCCTTTCCCCGCCGCCGCCGGATTGGGCCCCGGGGGAACCCCACCCCGACGTGTACGTCACCCAGAAATGACGTGACGCCGCCGGGCACACTGGGGGCGGGGCCATGACCATACGAGGGAAAACTCTATGGTTTTCCCTTGTATGGTCATGGCCTCGCCCCCAGCATGCCCGGTGTCGTCACGTCACTTCCAGGTGACGTGCGTGCTGTGTGCGCGCGCGCTCCAGACGCCAGCCAGGAGTCCCCCGCTGGCGCTACAAACCCACTTGGCAACCCTACCCTTCAGTGATCTTCATTTTCTTCTTCTGCTCCTTCCCCAATTTCTGTGTTTTACCCTCAGACACAAATAGAAGCAGAGAAGCAGAAGATCAGGTCTGCCTTTGAGCAAATGCACAAGTTTCTTGAGGAACAGGAACACCTCAGGCTGTCCCAGCTGAAAGGCTTGGAGGAAGAGATTGGCAAGCGAAATAAAGAAAACATTGACAGACTCTCTGAGGAGATTTCCCGCCTCAATCGCCTGATCTCAGAAATGGAGGGGAAGTGCAAACAGCCGGCAACTGAATTTCTACAGGTGGGGACTGCGAAAACAGATACTTCCTCCAGGGGTCTTTTGGGGCCAGAGCGCGCCGGAGCACAGCTCCAGCATCCCAGAAGCGCTGTGTCTGGGGGGAGGCCCGGAGAGCCCCGCAGCCGGGCCCCTGGGCCTGCGCAGAAGCACTGCGGCTTAGGGGAGCCTGGAGAGCCTTGCCGCCAGCTTCCCCGGCCCGCGCCAAAGCAGTAAGGGATCCACAGGGGTGGCGGGGGCTTGATGGGAGGGTGGGAGAGCCTCCCTCCCTCCATCTCTTTGCCATCTTTCCCTCCTTTCCTTTTCTTTCCCACCTTTTCTTTCTCTCCTCTTCCTTCCTTCCTGTCTTTTCCTCCTTTCCTTCTCTCTTTCTTTCATTCCCTCCTTTCCTTCTCTCCTTTTCCTCTTTTCCTCCTTCCCTTCTCTCTTTCTTTCTTTCCCGCCTTCTTCTCTTCTCTTTTTTCCTCCTTTCCCTCCTTCCCTTCTCTCTTTCTTTCCCTCTTCTTTCCTTCTCTTTCTTTCCTCTTTCCTTCTCTCTTTTCTTCCTTCTTTCCTTCTCTTTCTTTCCCTCCTTCCTTCTTTCCTTCTCTCTACTCTCTCTCTTTCCTTCCCTCTTTCCTCCTTCTGTGGCCCAACCCCTTCTCTCTTCGCCCCCCTCCCCCGCAGGCCAGCTGGGGAAGGGGAGGGGAGGCTTTTGAAGATTCCCCCCCCCGTTTTGCTTCCCCTTCTGACATCACTTCCGGTGATGTCAGGGGGCGTGGTATATGCTAATAGCTTAGTCGCTCATTAGCATACTGTATGCTAATGAGGTCCTGCAGCTCTTTTTCTATGAAATGACCCCTGCTTCCTTCATTTTTGGGAACAATGATTCTGAGAATGACAACTGCATTTTAAAAATGGGACAATGACAGATTGATTCTCCCCCCCAAAAAACAAAAAGCAGTCCAGTATGTGTTCTGTCTGACATCCACTTTTTTCTTTTTCTTTCAGGACATCCAAGGAACGATGAGCAGGTTTGTACCTGTTTTTCATTCCTGTGGACGTAAAAGAAATGTTCAAATTTGCCAGTTGATTCAAACCAGAAAGTTTTGAGTGGGCTCTTTTCTGCCTCAAGATGGAACAGTGGTCACTGAAAATGTTCGATCCAAATCACATTTCTGTCATCTCTACTGTATCCCTTTATTGACTTGGCAAGTTATTATGGTCCCTTGGAGACTTCTGCCACATCTTCCTGATTTGTTATAATACTGATAATCAAGTGTCGGCTGATGGTAACTAATGGTTAAGAATGGTTGGCTGAGATATTCTCCATGGGTAACAAATGTTCAAAGATAGCTCTCTGGAAGGTGTGTTCAGTATCTCGCTCATTATTTTTAGATATTTATATTCTGCCTTTTCCCCCCAGTGGGGACTCAGAGGGGCTTACAATATCATTCTGCCCTCTTTTGGTTTATCCTCACAATCAAAGTTCCCTCTAAGCTGTCCTAGGGTGTGCTGGCGCACCAAATTTTAGCCAGCAGCGCAGGGATTTTTGCCTCAGCACACGAGTGAACTGAGAAGGCATTTTTAAATGCCCTCCCTTCCCTCCCCAGCGCAACCAGCAAGTGAACTGGGAAAGCAAAATGACTCCCCTTCACTTACTGACTCACATCGCTGCCCAAGATGAGGAATCCAGAGGGCCCCCCCCATACACAACACTGTGCATACACCTTACGGAGAGGCTGACCCCTTGCCCAGATCTTCTTCCTTCCCACCACCTTCTGAAGGGCTCGGTCCGTGGAGCTCGGCTTGGGCACATCTGATACTAGAAGGAAGTGGGCCAGGCTGGTCAAGGGGGAACCAAAGCAGGAAGAGGAAGCAGGAAGAAGGTCTTCAGGTCCCGGGTGGCCCATGAGAGCCCCTTCCTCCCCCTCCTGGCCACTCAACCTCAGCTTGCCTCCCTCCCCACACCCCAGCAGGAAGGAAGGAGAAAAGTTTTGTCAACTCAGTCCCAGTCCACGGCAGCCACTTCCTCAGGCTCCAGCGGGCACTTCCCCTGTCCAACCCAGCCAGCCCAGGCCCCTGGCGGGCAGCTGCCTTCCCCCTGGAGCCAGGACGCCACTCTCTTCATTGACTCAGCTGGGGCAGGTGGGGAGAGAGACCAAACCACCCCCACGGCCTCCAAGTCAGCCAGCATTCGCTCCCTACCTGCCTACCCAGTTCACTTGCCGTGACGATTTAATGGATTGGTTTCCAAAAAGAAAAGAGGAAACTTGGGAAGATTCGTTTTGGGTGGGGAGGGCAGACTCCATTTGTAATAAACTAGAGAAGAAGAAGAATCCTTTTAAGCCCCATTGGTTTTGATTTATTTTATTGGGTTTATATCCCGCCCTATCCCAAAATGGGCTCAGGGCAGCTCACAAGAGAATTAGCTATAAATAAACATAATAATCAGATTAAAACAGGTTAAAACATTCAGGCAATCGTACAATGAATAGTAGAGCAAGATGGCAGAACCAGGTAAACATTTCCAGGATGATTAGACTAGCAATTCTATTAGCAGTTCTATGGGCAGCTCTGTGGGCAGGGGAGGCCGAGATGGACTGAATGTCCGCCGCCTCAGCGAAAGGCCTAGCAGAACAGCTCCATTTTACAGGCCCTGCAGATCTGTAACAAGACCCGCAGGGCCCTGATCTCAATTAGGACCAGTGTTCCCTCTAAGCTGAGTTAGTGTGAACTAGCTCACAGTTCTTTAGCCTCCGGCTCACACATTTTTGTCTTAGCTTAGAGAGCCAGTTTGGTGTAGTGGTCAAGTGCGCGGACTCTAATCTGGGAGAACCGGGTTTGATTCCCCACTCCTCCCTCTGAGACACCTTTGGGCAGTGAAGGGCGGGGTATAAATCCAATCTCTTCTTCTTCTTAGCTCAGGATGGATGGCTCCAGAGCACACTAATTTATGCAGGAGCCAAATCGCTCACTCACAACTTTAATGCCTGTAGCTCACAAAGTAGAATTTTTGCTCACAAGACTCCACAGATTAGAGGGACCATTGATTGGGAGCGTGTTCCACCTGGCTGGGACCAGGGTAGAGAAGGCCCTGGCCTTGGTTGAGGCTAAGCAGACATCTTTCGGGCCAGGAACCACCAGTAGATGTTGATCAGCAGAGCACAAGGTTCTCCAGGGCACATATGGGGAGAGACGGTCCCGTGGGTATGCTGGTCCCATGCCGCATAAGGCTTTGAAGGTCAATACTATGACCTTGAACCTGAACCGGTACTCTATTGGCAGCCAGTGCAGCTGGTGGAACACTGGCTGAATGCATATATAATTCCCTTCCCTCCCCCCGCGTAATTCTGGTTCTCGTTATGAAGGGTGTCCCACGGGCCTTTTGTGCAGCTAGCTCACTGCTCCAGACTCTGTTGCAGACTTGCCAGTTCTGGTAATGTCCTTTTACCAGCAATACCAGGGTTTGCACTTGCAACATTCTCTTTGCAGAATATGTCCCCCACCACGGAGCAGTGGCTGTCTGTATGTGTGCTTCACATGCCATTTCTGTTTGCTTTTCTGGCTCTCTACGCATGATTCCTGTGTGGACTGATCATTCAGGGAGGAACAGCGGACATAAGTGCGTTTACCCCACCCCCTGCCTCCACACCATCACCAGGTTGTCTACATGGAGGATGCTGCTTTCCATACATTGCCAATCAAAGGAAATACTACTGTACACAGAGTGTAATTAAAATGTGGAGTTTGCTGCCAGAGGATGTAGTGATGGCCATAGAAACATACAGCTTTAAAAGGAGATCAGAGAGATTTGGGGAGGAGAAGTCTATCAGTGGCTACTAGTCACGGTGGCTATGGGGAACCTCCACATTCAGAGGCACTAAGCCTCTGAATCCCAGAGCCTGGAGGCAACATCAGGGGAAGGCCTCAGCCTCTATGCCCTTTTGTTGGCCCTCCTGAGGAACTGGTTGGCCATGGTCTGAGACAGAATGCTGGACAAGATTGAGCTTCACTGGTCTGATCCAGCAGGGCTCTTCTTATGGTCACGGGGAAGGAGCATACAAATGGAGGCTTCCTCTGCACATAAGCGCCATGCTGACAAACTGGCGATTACAAGGACATGGAAGCAGGGCCAGTGTGTCCGTATCTTCTCTCCATTTCAGTGTATTTAGTCAGCATGTGGGCAGGACATGTATAGAGAGCTTTTTTGTGGCTGTCCCAGAGATCCCAGGGAACTCAAAATTTCCCAAATATATCCACTGTAAGAAAGATCATCCTCATGTTTGATAAAGACCAGACCCTTTCAGCCACAATATATTTCTATTCTAATCAATTTAATTCTGAAGAAAACAGTAATCTAGAGATTTTTTTTTCTATTCCCACCACCCATAGGAATGAAATTGATTTGGAGTAGATCCTGCCGAAATCAAAGTTAGAGGCTGCACACGTGCCTTTGGGGATTCTAGTGACCGATTTAACCATATTTTTATAACTTTCATTAGAAGGGGGTATCTGCTCTTGCACATATGGAAGGACAATAGTTATTTCAGACTTGTCCATTTTCCTTTCAGGTATGCGAAGAAACAGGTGGGACATGCCCTGGTCCTCTCACCTGGGTTGGAAGACAGCCTCAGCATTTATTGTGAGAAAAATGCTGCTCTAGAAAAGGTTATGGAGAAGTATAAAGGTATTGAGGTCACTCAGAAATGGGAATGGCTACAGTTCCAAGTATAATCTACTTCTAAATTGGTTTCCAAGAAAGTGAGGTCCTTGTTGAAGAGAAACTTGCTTGAGAGTCCAAAGAGAGAGCTTCAGGACCATCACATTTTTCATTTCTGATTAGTGGATCTTCTGTGGGTAGGCTGCTCTCCTGCCCCATAAACGGACCTACAGGTCATGGAGGAGGCAGAAGTGGACTCTCTTTGCCCGCCCCCGCCGCCACCACCACCACCACCTCCATTTTATCTGCTTCTGAGGATGGAGAGCAGTTGTCCTCTCAAATGCCTTGCTCATGAAATGCTATGGAGAAAGCCATATTACTTTGTAACAGCAAAAAACAGAACAGGAGTCTTAAACACTAACGGATTTGTAGCTTCACCTTATCAGATGCATGATTTATAATCTCAGTTGGAAAATATTTTGAGAAAAAGTGTTATTCAGGGGGCCAAGAAGCTATGAAATGAAAGAAGGGCAGATTCTTTGATATAGTTTGGTATAGTGGTTAAGAGTGTTGGACTCTAATCTGAGAGAACCGGGTTTGATTCCCCACTCTTCTGCTTGCAGCTGCTGGATGACCTTGGGAAAGCCATAGTTCTGTCAGAGCTGTTCTTGAAAAAGAGCAGTTTCTGTCAAGAGCTCTCTCAGCCCCACCCACCTCACAGGGTGTCTGTTGTGGGGAGGGGAAGGGAAAGGAGTTTGTAAGCCACTCTGAGACTCCAAGTGAAGGACGGGATATAAATCCAATCTCTTCTTCATCTTCTTCTCTCAGGCAGAGATAGGCCTCCGGTTTAAAACAACAACACTGGATTACTTAGTAGGTGATACAGCTAGATTCGTGTCCAATAGAACCTTAGAAACCAAGATTTTGGGGATATAAGATTTTAAGGGTGCAAATTCTTTTTCAGGTAGATGCTATCAACTTCTGTCAATAGAGTTGGTAGTTCCGGGTTGGGAAATACCTGGAGATTTTGGGGGTGGAGCCTGGGGAGGGGAGGGACCTCAGCAGGATACAATGCCACAGGAGCCATCCTCCAAAGCAGCCATTTTCTCCAGGGGAACTGATCTTGATGATCTGGAGATCAATTGTGATAGCAGGTGATCTCCAGGTGCCACCTGGAAGCTGGCAATCTCATTTGTCAATAATATCCTTTGCTGTCAGCCTAGAACAGAGGGTGGACTGGACTCTTGTGGCATTATACTCCACTGAGGTCTCTTCCCTCCCCAAATCTCCAGGAACTTCCCGCCCAGAGTTGGCAGCCCTAGGACAGTGGCAATTTCATTCTGTTGTTTGCACACACCACTTTCCCCAGTACCAGTGACAACAAGGATCAAAATATACCAGTCTAAACAAAAGATTCTTCCTCTTCCCGCTGGGATCCTCTTCTTCTTTTGGTCTTCTTTTGTTGATTCCAGATTTAAGCAAAAAAAAAAAGAAGAATCAATCTGTGTAACACAAATCTAAATGCTGCATTTAATCATGTATTGTGTGTATCTGAAAGGATTGTTGTTGTTTTTACATCAAATGATATACTGCTGTATCTGACAAAACGTATGACCTTTTCCTCCATGTAACAGAGTCTCTGGAGCAAGCAACAAAGAAAGGTAATTTTCATCATCAAGCTCTGTGCCCACCCTAGGAAATTACATAGGTCAACCAAAAGTTAACTCAAGCCCCGGTCACACGGGCCGGATATCGCGGGGGGGAGGCGTGGCTGTTTGCCCCGGAGCGAACTACCGCGCGACCGCCAGATCAGACGTCCCGCCGATCATACGTAAATCCTGTGGCGCGGCAAAGAAGCGGCGCGGTGGGGGTTGTGGGGTTTTTTACCGAAGTGTGCGCATGTGCAATTGGGTGCTTGTGCGCATCCCGTGGAGACTTGGGGGGAAAAAATACCTTTTCATGACGGGACATGGGCGGGCGCCAGATGCCACAAGCTACCACCGGAAATGTGATCAGACGCCCGCCCTTGCCCTGCGGTTTCCGGAAACGAGTACCTCGGCGGGACTA